TAATCGAAAAAAGAAGGAATTAAATTACCCCCTTCAAGAAAGTTAATTATTTGGAAAATCGCAACTTCCATAACTGGTATCTTTTCTTCAAAAAAAGTAAGGTTATAGCCTTATAAAATTGATCAATTTAGCCGGAGATTTCCTTTTCTAAAAACATTTTTACCTTGAAATTCCTAATCGAAAAAAGAAGGAATTAAATTACCCCCTTCAAGAAAGTTAATTATTTGGAAAATCACAACTTTCAAGACTGGTATCTTTTCTTCAAAAAAAGTAAGGTTATAGCCTTATAAAATTGATCAATTTTGCCGGAGATTTCCTTTTCTAAAAACATTTTACCTTGAAATTCCTAATCGAAAAAAGAAGGAATTAAATTACCCCCCTTCAAGAAAGTTAATTATTTGGAAATCACACTTTCAAAAACTGGTATTTTTCTTCAAAAAAGTTAAGGTTACAGCCTTATAAAATTGACAAATTTTGCCGAGATTTCCTTTTCTAAAAACATTTTTACCTTGAGATTCCTAATCGAAAAAAGAAGGAATTAAATTACCCCCTTCAAGAAAGTTAATTATTTGGAAAATCACAACTTTCAAGACTGATATCTTTTCTTGAAAAAAGTAAGGTTATAGCCTTATAAAATTGATCAATTTTGCCGGAGATTTCATTTTCTAAAAACATTTTTACCTTGAGATTCCTAATCGAAAAAAGAAGGAATTAAATTACCCCCTTCAAGAAAGTTAATTATTTGGAAAATCACAACTTTCAAGACTGATATCTTTTCTTGAAAAAAGTAAGGTTATAGCCTTATAAAATTGATCAATTTTGCCGGAGATTTCATTTTCTAAAAACATTTTTACCTTGAGATTCCTAATCGAAAAAAGAAGGAATTAAATTACCCCCTTTAAGAAAGTTAATTATTTGAAAAATCACAACTTTCAAGACTGGTATGTTTTCTTTGAAAAAAGTAAGGTTATAGCCTTATAAACTTGATCAATTTTGCCGGAAATTTTCTCTTCTAAAAACATTTTTACCTTGAGATTCCTAACCGAAAAAGGAAGGAATTAAATTACCCCTTTTAAGAAAGTAAATTATTTTGAAAATCACAACTTTCAAGACTGGCATTTTTTCTTTAAAAGAAGTAAGGTTATAGCGTTAAAAGATTGATCAATATTTCCGGAAATTTTCTGTTCTAAACACATGTATATTTTGAGATTCAAGAACGAAAAAAGCAAGAGTTTAATACCCCTTTAAGAATGTTAATTATTTGAATTATCACAACTTTCGAGACTGGTGTTTTTTCATTGAAAAACGTAAGGTTATAGCCTTATAAAATTGATCAATTTTTTCGGAAATTTTCTCTTCTAAACCCCTGTTTCGTTGAGATTCATTACCAAGAAAAAAAATGTTCTTGTAAAAACAGATGGCTTTGCCTTCGTATGATTAGAGCAGGCAAGAAATGAATTGACTCCGTGAAAAAAGAGCAATTTTTGATAGCATCACAATATTCTAGACTTCTCGACTTTCTTAAAAAGTAAGGCTGTAGGAAGAGAAATCTAGTCAATTATTTCCAGAATTTATTTCTTTAAAAACAGATGGCTTTGCCTTCGTATGATTGGAGCAGGCAAGAAATGAATTGACTCCGTGAAAAAAAGAGCAATTTTTGATAGCATCACAATATTCTAGACTTCTCGACTTTCTTAAAAAGTAAGGCTGTAGGCATAGAAATCTATTCAATTTTTTTCCGAAATTTTTTCCCTAAAAACAGGTTTATTTCTCTTCATCTGTACTTTCAAACTATTTCCAAAGAAACAAATTATTCTAAATACGTTTCTCGATAGATCCTAAAAACCTCTCTATCTCTGTGTCCGTCATTTGACTATAGTTACTTTTTTAGCTTTGTCGAATAAGCCTGATTTTGTTGAAATTTCCGCGACTTTGAAGGCCTATTTATATTAGCAAATAGATCCTACCTTTCAGCTTATACGCTGGCAGGTAGGATGAAATCATCGCATGTTTCTACCCCAACCTTCCAGCTTCCGTTTTCTTTGTTATCCCACCTTGCAGCTATGCTTTTTGACTGCAAATTGCTTTATTTTTCTCATGGAATGCGAACACACTCGCATAAGTAAGAATTTTATCTCACCTTCCTTGCAGTTTTGCGTTCTAGCCTTCCTAAGAGGTGAGATCTGGCAAGCTGACAGCATGATATCATTTGCCCTGAAGAGAGCGTTTCTCATATAAAGACAAGATTAAAATTACACAGGCCCTTAGTCTTAAAAGGTGCTGCACCTCCGAAACCCCTGCACCCTCTAAGTTGGGGGCCTGAATAGACTGAACATAATTACAAGACGCATTTTAGCGCCAATGATTGCGTTGATTAAAACTTTGATGCATTTATGAAATTCGTTTCATATGAAATGAACTTAAGGTCATTTTGCTGAACAAGTTTAATAGTGAATTAATAAACTTGTAATTGTAGTAATATTTAGTAGTTAATAGTAGTTAATAGTAAAACTTGGGGGTCGTACGGACCATCTCCCTGACTCTGGCAAGGCAACGGTGCTGACTTTGTAATCATCAGAGAGCTCAGACAATAAAAATATGCTTTATCTTTAAAAGTCCCTTGCATGTGATAACATCTGTTAACATTGGCAGTCTATAGCCGACTCGTTTCCACCAATAAAAAATGACTGTAAGAGCATCCCTATATTTTAAAATTCCTGCCTCACAGTGTCTCAGATGAATCCTTGACAAGCCCCAAGGCTAGCGCTCATCAACTGGTCGGATATGATAATATTTCAAGCAACCATTGATATCTTAAACTACATCCATGTACATACAGTTGATATTGATGCTAAGCCAGTCTTACAGTTTGGAGGTTCCCAGCTATTCAAGGACTTAAAAGCATTCCCCACTCCCTTAGCACCCACCTCACACTATAGATTTATTGACTGCCTGTTTGTAGCTTTTCATACAGGTTTTCTCTTGAGATTACGAATTTCTAAGGCAACAGTCACAGCAATGCAAAACAAACAATTGTTAATGATACTTTACTCACACTATAATCTGTAATATGAAAACAACATACACACTCGTTTCAACATCGTATCCGGCGATGATGATTATGATTCACTAAACTCCAATCTTGCTATACATTCAAACTAAAAATATTTGTGAATAACACTAGAGGAAATATTCGTAAGCTGAGATGTACATTAAAACGACGGTATTGAAATTAATTTCGAATAGTGAATTCACCTTAGGCATTTTGATTTTATTCTTGGTTAAGCTTGCATTTAATAAAATGTGTATTGTGAATAACACTAGAGGAAATATTCGTAAGCTGAGATGTACATTAAAACGACGATATTGAAATTAATTTCGAATAGTGAATTCACCTGAGGCATTTTGATTTTATTCTTGGTTAAGCTTCCATTTAATGAAATATATATATTGTGAATAACACTAGAGGAAATATTCGTAAGCTGAGATGTACATTAAAACGACGATATTTAAATTAATTTTGAATAATCAATTCACCTGAGGTGTTTTGTCGCTTGTCGTTGGGAAACATTTGTCCTATTAAGTCTAAAACTTGACTCGTTTATCAAGATTCAACAAGGCTCGTTGTTCTGCACGACCTACAGGTGACAGTTTCTTCAATCTCTTCTATTCCTCTTGCAAATATTGTAACAAGTTTACGATGACTCCTAAAAAAGGTAAAAAGAATAAGATAGAACTGAGTTGAGCTTTTAA